ATAATGGCTATTTCTCAGAAAGTTTTAAACTGTCAAGAGGAGTGAAACAAGGTTGTCCACTATCGGCATATCTATTTATTGTGGCCATCGAGATGTTAGCTATTAAAATCAGATCCAATAATAATATCAGAGGATTAGAAATACAGGGCTTAAAAACAAAGGTGTCATTGTACGCTGATGATTCATGTTTTCTTTTAAATCCACAACTAGAATCCCTCCACAGCCTCATAGAGGATCTAGATACATTTTCTAACCTCTCTGGATTAAAACCAAATTATGACAAATGTACTATTTTACGTATTGGATCACTAAAAAATAAAAAATTTACATTACCATGTAGTTTACCAATAAAATGGTCTGATGGTGATGTGGATATACTCGGAATACATATCCCAAAGGAAATAAATGATCTCACTTCAATAAATTTTAATAGAAAGTTAGCAAAAATAGATAAGATCTTCATACCATGGAAAGGAAAATACCTGTCAATTTGTGGAAAAATCACCCTGATTAACTCTTTAGTATTATCCCAGTTTACCTATTTGCTTATGGTCTTGCCTACGCCTAGCGAACAGTTTTTTAAATTATATGAGAAAAAAATATTCAATTTTATTTGGAACGGCAAGCCAGACAAAATTAAAAGGGCATATTTATATAATGAATATGAATTCGGAGGACAGAAATGATTAAATATTAAAGCATTAGACCTATCACTAAAAGCTTCAGTCATACAAAAGTTATACTTAAATCCGAACTGGTTCTCAAGCAAATTAGTAAGATTGTCTCACCCAATGTTCAAGAAAGGCCTTCTTCCCTTTATTCAGATTACAACCTCTCACTTTCAGTTATTTGAAAAGGAAATAATCTCCCAAATATCACTATTTCTAAAACAAGCCATAGAAAGTTGGTTGCAATTTCAATTTAATCCTCCAGAAACGACAGAACAAATAATGCAACAAATATTGTGGTTAAATTCAAATATACTAATTGACAAAAAACCTTTATTTTTTGACAGAATGTTTAAAAAAGGTATAATCTTCGTAAATGATATCATCGGTAGGACTGGTGGAGTTATGTCGCACATGCAGCTAACAAAAACATATGGAAATGTCTGCTCTACCCAAAATTACAACCAAATAATTGCAGCCTTACCGCAAAAGTGGAAGAGGAAAGTTGAAGGGGGAGAAAGTAAGGAACTTGTCTGTCGGCCTTGCATTAAAGAACATATAATTGGTTAAGGAAAACGGTGATAAATAAAAAAGTATATCAGTTTCACTTAAGGACCAAAGGATTGACAGCCGTCCCATATAGATTGCAAAATAGTTGGGAAGAGATCTTTGACGTACCGATCCCATGGCATAGTGTTTATGAACTGACACGCAAAACGACACCGGATTCAAAAATTAGAATCTTTCAATTTAAATTATTATATAAAATTCTTGCTACCAATAGAATGTTATTTATATGGGGGATACAATCTTCCAAGCTCTGCAGATTTTGCTGTGAAGAGACAGAATCATTAGATCATTTGTTTTGGTTCTGTCCATTTGTAGCTTGTTTTTGGACACAGGTCCAGGAATGGCTAAAGGATTGCAATATTTACCTGGAACTAACCTTGCAGATAACATTACTGGGTGATCTGAAAAGTCATAGTCAATCAATCAATAATATAATAATACTTTTAGCAAAAATGTTTATTTTTAATTCACAATCTGTAGAAGCAATGAGAATAGAAAGGTTCAGAACTTTTGTAAAACATCACAGTACGGTTGAAATATAGATGGCAAATAGAAATCCTATATGGATGGTGTTAAGAGATAGATGGGAGGTATTGAATAGAGTTGAAGGATGGGACTAATAACAAATAACAACAAATAATAACAAAGATAGCTAATAATGTAAGCATACTGTGTCCATAATAAGTATATAGGTTGTATGTTGGGAGCTTTTGGGAAAGAGCACAGTTAGAAAGATATGGCATTTAGAAGCAAACCGGATGGACATCATGAAAATGATCGGAGAGGTTGAGAGTAGAAGAAGTTCAGGAGCAAAAAAAAAAATATATATATATATATATATATATATATATATATATATATATAGAGAGAGAGAGAGAGAGAGAGAGAGAGAGAGAGAGAGAGAGAGAGAGAGAGAGAGAGAGAGAGAATTATTGTAAAATTAACTCTGTCCATAAGGTGTAGATAGTAAGTATAGACCGGAAGTAGAGGCCTGGGCGTTGTTGTTCACTAATTTACTCCAAGTAGGGAAAGGATGGTGGGGTTGAAAAGTAATAAAGGGGAATATATATATAAAAAATAAAAATAAACATGGGGGATTGGAAGTGATGCAGACAATTACATTGATAGAAGATACAATATATCTGCAATATTAAGCTGATCCATTCCCCCCGAAAAAAATAAATAAATAAATAAAATACAAAAAAAATATTAAAAAATACAAAATACAAAAAAAGCATAGTGTCCATAATAAGTATATAGGTTGTATGTGGGGAGCTTTTGGGAAAGAGCACAGTTAGAAAGATATGGCATATAGAAGCAAACCGGATTGACATCATGAAAATGATCGGAGAGGTTGAGAGTAGAAGAAGTTCAGGAGCAAAAAAATAAAATAATATATATATATATATATATATATATATATATATATATATATATATATATATATATATATAATAGAATTATTGTAAAATTAACTCTGTCCATAAGGTGTAGATAGTAAGTATAGACCGGAAGTAGAGGCCTGGGCATTGTTGTTCACTAATTTACTCCAAGTAGGGAAAGGATGGTGGGGTTGAAAAGTAATAAAGGGGAGTATATATATATAAAAAAAACATGGGGGATTGGAAGTGATGCAGACAATTACATTGATAGAAGATACAATCTATCTGCAATATTAAGCTGATCCATTCCCCCAGAAAAAAAAAAAAAAAAGGACTTAGCATGTTAGCTAACCCTTCCCCTAACCCTAACCTTAACCCTTTTAGCTAACCCTTCCCCTAACTCGAACATTAACCTTTCTAGCTAACCCTTCCCGTAACCCTTTTAGCTAACCCTTCCCCTAACCCTTTAACCTAACTCCTAAACTTAACCCGAACCCCTAGCCTAGATAACGTTAGCATGCTAGCTAACGTTAGTCACCTAGCCACCTAGCTAGAATTCATAACATATCATACGTTTTTGTACAAATTTGTAACATATTGTACGTTCAGCAAATTCATAACATATTGAAAAAAATAAAATAGGGTGGTTGTCCCACTGGCTATCATAAGTTCAATGCACCAATTTGTAAGTCACTCTGGATAAGAGCATCTGCTAAATGATGTAAATGTAAATGTAAATATTGTAAATTTGGCAAATTCGTAACATTTAATACGAATTCTAATTCGTAACATATCATACAAAATGGGTGATGGACATTCACAAATTAATACATACCATAAAAACGTAACATAGACTAAATGGAGTCTCTCGGATTTACGTACAGAATAATACAAAATGCTCTGAGACCAGGTTGGGATGGCAGGGAGCTCAGCCCCAGTGATGTACTGGGCCGTACTCACCACCCTCTGTAGCGCCTTGCGTACGGGTGCCTTGCAGTTGCCGCACCAAACAGTGATGCAGCCAGTCAAGATGCTCTCAATGGTGCAGCTGTATAACCTTTTGAGGATCTGAGGGCCCATTACAAATCTTTTCAGCCTCCTGAGGTGGAGGGGGTGCTGTCGTGCCCTTTCAACAACTGTGTGGATGTGTGTGGACCATGTTAATTCCTTAGTGATGTGGACCCCGAAGAACTTGAAGCTCTCGACTACAGATCTTTTAATCATTTTCAGATTTTTCAGAAACCCTGGCTACAACACTATATTGGGTTAGTGTTAAACTACCATTCCTTAGAGGTGACACATTAAACTGGCTGATCGAAATCAAATGTTTCTCTCTGTTGACATCTGGTTCTCCAGCTGTAATTACACCCCTGTTTAATAATTACAGCTGCTGTGGATGTGGATGGGCCCACTCTGTGCTGCACGGCGCAGGAGGGTGGCCCAGACACCTTGTCCAACCATCTTAAACAACCCCTTAATCGTTTTGCAGAAGCCCCTCTTGTGGTGAATGGATGTATTACATGAATGTACTCAGCACTACATGAGTAGCTCTGTGCAATTCTTTTTTCATACCGCAAGATGGCAATGTTAATCCATTTCCCACAGTATAATGAGCCAAATTCACATGGGAGTTTAGAGTGATTTGAAGGTTGAAATACGAGCAATTGGATGGACTATTGATACATTCTATTTAAAAATATATATTTTTTCCTTTTTGATCTTTTAAAAGTGTATCCATGCACGTATTTACCTATACGTTTCTCTAACGGTTGGATTTGGGTTTCCTCCATTATAAAGTTGTTTTATGCATTGCCTGGAAATCCGGCATTGAATTGCATAGAATTTTATGTCGGGGCAGAAATGAGTTTGAATCAGGAAAGTTTCCTCTCATGACCTAAAAGCCAGAATGTTATGATATTTTTAACGTACTTTACAGGTACTTTACCATGCAGCTGTTCATTTTGGCAGTATGAAATGAACAGGCCTCCTGTAGCTCAGTTGGTAGAGCATGGCGCTTGCAACGCCAGGGTTGTGGGTTCGATTCCCACGGGGGGCCAGTATGAAAAATGTATGCACTTCACTAACTGTAAGTCGCTCTGGATAAGAGCGTCTACAAAAATGTAAAGTACGTTAAAATATAATTGTATTCAACATTCTGGCTTTTAGGTCATGAGAGGAAACTTTCCTGATTCAAACGCTCATTTCTGCCCGACATAAAATTCTATACAATTCAACATTGGGTTTCCAGGCAATTTCACGCATTGCTTGTTTAGGAAAGAAGATAACATTCTTTCACAGTGGCGCTCCCCCTCCCTCGTGATTCACGACTGACTTGTGAGTACTGCCGCTCTGAAAACCAGTTCGGGTTCCAGAAAACAACATGGCAGACGATTTGACCATTCAAACTGGCAGAAAAGACGGAGGAATTGTGGTAATTACAATGAAATTATTTGGGAAAGTGAGCCTACTGAACTGATGTGATAGAGGTCGACATAACATGAGTGCATGATGATGTGTAAACCTCGTGTGCAACAAAGTAGCTAAAGTTGTAGCTTACTGTGTTCTTGCTTGCATGGAACTTCAACTGCATGTAAGTATTTGTAATGAATACTATATTTTCCCTCCTAGATCGACGATGACTGGCCAGGTTACAGTTTAGAGCTGTTTAACTATCCAAAACACTACTCTGGAGATCTAGAGTGTGTTTACATCCCACATGGTGTCATCATGGACAGGTAAACTATATAGCATGAATGCAGAAGGCCTATTTACCAATTCACTTGTATCTTTATTTTTCTTTCTTTCTGTGTGATCACTGACATTGGGAAACTACAAGACTTTCAGTCGCCCAGTCCTCAGTGGTCAAACAGAACAGGGGACAAGGAAAGGAAGTAATTAAAATACATTATCGGGATGTTATCAGAGTGAGGATGCAAAGCCAATAGCCTACCTACAGTATATAGAGATGGATAGCAGCTTGGAGAGAGAGAGATTGGATTGAGTAAAGGCGCCTGCATACTAGGTTCGGTTTGCTCCTAGCAGAACTTGGCTAGTCGAAACGAACGTATGTGCCTCGCATAATCACTTAAAACCCTTTCCTGTGGTCAAACTACCAAATCGCCCTCTAGTAGCCTCATGGGTGAAAAAAAAAAAAAAAACGGTGTTTCTATGTCATACGGTTTTGTTATAGTTTAGTCTTATGTGGTGTGTAATATTGGGATGCAAGCTCAAAATTGAATACATTTCAACTCTATATCTGACATGGTACAGGTGTCTTCTTATTTTTTAAGTCCATAACCATGTGGGTGATGTGTATACTCACTAACTGTAGGTCGCTCTGGATAAGAGCGTCTGCTAAATGACTAAAATGTAACTGTAAAATATATACTTTTGTTTCAAAGTAAATTTGATTAAGACTACCAAAAAACACTATGTGTCCCTGATTTAGCCCAATGCAGTAAAAGGTTGGAAAATAAGAAAAAAGTGGCAATATTACGGTTTGTACCTCTTGAGATGCCATAGCAACAACATAGCCAGTATACACTTCCTCAAAATAGTCCTAATGAATCTAAGATAAATCAATAATTTTGATGTTTTTGCAAAGGAGTTCTTAGGGTGTTTTCACACTTGGTCCCTTTCAGGCAATTTTTGTGGACTCAGTGCGGTTCGCTTAATTTTTTGTCCAGTGTGAACACCCCAAAGGAACTCAGAACCCTCAAAAGAGCCTGCGAACCGAACTGAGACCATCTCGACAGGTGGTCTGAGTTCAATTCGCTTTAAATCCTTGGTCCGGTTCCCTTTTTTAGGGCAATGTGAACACAAAGCTCCCTAGGTTCGCTTGTCATTATTCCCCCACCACACACTAGACTACTGCAACATTGTTTCCCCTGCCATAACCCCTCACATTGGTGCAACAAAAGAGAGAAGATGATGTGCAGATTAGCGATTGTCAAGGATGCACAGAAATTAATTTTAAAGATCTTTTTTTTTTTTTTTACCCCCTTTTCGTGATATCCAATTGGTAGTTAGTCTTGTCTCATCGCTGCAACTCCCCTACGGACTCGGGAGAGGCATGCGTCCTCCGAAACACGACCCTGCTTCTTGACACACTGCTCGCTTAACCTGGAAGCCAGCCGCACCAATGTGTCGTAGGAAACACCGTCCAGCTGGCGACCGAAGTCAGCTTGCAGGCGCCCGGCCTGCCACAAGCAGTCGCTAGAGCGCGATGGGATAAGGAAATCCCGGCCGGCCAAACCCTCCCCTAACCCGGACGACGCTGGGCCAATTGTGCGCCGCCTCATGGGTCTCCCGGTCATGGCCGGCTGTGACACAGCCTGGGATCGAACCCGGGCGATGCAGTGCCTTAGACCACTGCACCACTCAGGAGGCAAGAAATTCAGTTTTTTGTTCAAATTATTTGTTTGCAATATGTGATCTATAAGCTAAGAGAGCTTTATAAGCTGTTTATTCGTTTGTTGGGTTTGAATAGTGTGAGAAGACAACATTTGGTGAGAATTACAACATAGGGTACAAAATCGTTCTAGCTCTTAAAGGGGCAGTAGCCTAAATTGTGTTTACAATTTTCAATTACTTAATTATTTAATCTATAGTTATTCTTATGCTATTTATTCTGTAACCAATAATATTTACATGTCAATAGTATCTTCTGATTACAATTATTATGTCTAATCTTTTAACTAAATCTATTTGCTTCCAAAATGTAAGTAGGTGTGTGTATATATAGCTGTCTGATAACTCGTTCTGATGGGATGGCTTGTCTCGCACTTTGTAAAAACCCAGAGTGCATTGAGTGAATGTTGGAAAAAGATCTTGGTTCCTTAATAAACATAGCAATGTGAATGCAAAGAGGACTCGGACCACAAAATAGGTGAACTGAACTGGTAAAAGAGTTGAGTCCTCATTCAAAGGCAAGGGCAGTGTGAATACAAAGAGAACTGAGTTATTTTGCTTTTTTTACCCCAGAGTTCACTTTAAAGAGGACTGAGATCGGTTCCTTTAAAGAGGACTATATGTGAAAACACACTTACATGCTGACCAAACCGTCCGCATTGCAAAATAAATGTACACATGTTATTCAATAATTTAATACAAACTGCTTGCACGCGTCTGCGTAGCCAGGCACTAAAATAGACTACGTTAAAATATAACTTGGTTCTATTGTAGATGCGTGACGCACCGCAAGTCCAGCCTCTCCCATCTACTCATTGGTTTTTAGGAGTATACTAACCCACGTGGTTGATTGAAAGATGAATGAGGTCCACACTCCAGTCCAGTTGGTGGCGGTAGTGCACCTTAAAGTTGGTTGCCAACTGCTATATAAAATCCACAAAATAAGAAGAAGAATGAACAAGGAGAGATTCATCAAACCTAACAAAAAACTAACTAAGTTTCCCCTTTTATCTGTGGATTAATTGTTGGAGTAGAGCACACATGATTTTGTGAGACTCAAAATGGGTCAAAATTCTACAAGGATCCAGCAAATAAAAGGACCATATGCATCTCAGGTAAAATAACAACCCAATGTTTATCTCCCAGAACAAATTAGCTAGCAACAGCAAGCTAGCTAAATGTCCATGAATGTTTCATGTGTGTTTTGACCTGACCCCAAATTAATATAGTTGGTTCACAGTTGGTTTTGGTATTTTAACCTGCGTGTCATGAACGCGTCTGGTGGGGATAGACAAAGTCAACATGCAGACGCATGCGTGGAGGCAGTTTTATCATCATGTGAGTTGCGAAATTTTACATCTAACTAAGATGTTTGGTGCAGTATTTCTCAAGTGAAAAAATCTGCAAGTCTCTCGTTGAATGACAACATACACTTCATTGAAGAATCCTATCCGTATTTCCCACTCCTACTTGGAGTAGTACTGTTGACCAATCACCGACGAAGGGGTGTAGACTTCGGCTACCGAACTTCGACTTGCCTCAAGAAAAAAATGTGCTCAAACAGCCGGAAAAAATCTGCCGACCACCAAAATGAACAAAAAGTCACAGAATTGTCATAATATATGCACAAACGGTTTAGACTGGGAAGCATGCAACAGGCTTTACTTTCTTTCACATACTTGTGTTGCAGGACAGAGCGGCTTGCCCGTAACATCATGGGTGACCTGGGCGACCATGACATTGTGGTGCTATGTGTTCTGAAAGCCGGGTACCAGTTCTGTGCCGACTTGGTGGAGAGGATCAAAGCACTGAGTCGCAACTCAGACCACACTCTGCCCATGAGTGTCAACTTCATCCGTCTCAAGAGTTACGTGGTAAGGACCTAAATAACCATTTTTTAAATGCTGGACAAGTGGACAATTCTTCCATGATGCATTCCGTCCTAAGACTCAGTGAAATCAGATGAATTTTTATTCAGATAAAATTGTCACAGCTTGAATTGTAGTGTTTCTTTCTCCGGTCCTTGGATGCCTGGTATGGGCTTCTGTCATGCCTGTTGTCATTTACAGCTGGCAATAATATACGTTGTATGTTTTGACAGTATTATTAGTGTTATATATTACTGTAAGCTTTTACACAAAACTTGACCAAATCTTTCCCTTTCTTGTAGAATGATCAGTCCACAGAGGATCTCCACATCGTTGGAGCAGAAGACCTCTCTTTCCTGACTGGGAAGGTAAGTATCCCTGCTGTACACAACAAATATAACATATACAGACAAGCAGTGAATTATTTGGGTTATGGTATGTAACGGCAGTTCTCTGAAGGAGTTGAGGGAGACATCTCACTATGGGACATGCCCTTTTTTGCGGGTCATTGGTTGAAGCCTTATTCAATCCTAACAGGCCAATCAGAGCTTTGTGGGTGTATGCCCCACATGTCTATATAACACCCTGCACTGCTCTGGTTTCCTCATTCTAAAAACTACCTCTTACATGAGTCGTGCAAGAGGGGCAATCTGGTGAGATGTCTCTCTCATCTCCTTCAGAGAACCGGGGTTACATACCGTAACCCAAAGTTCTCTTTCAGTCGACTCAGTTCGGCATTTCACAATGGGACACGTGCAAAACGCCCTGATTGCCAATAGCCAGTTTCCTGAGAAGCCTGTTGTGGTACATGGTAATGTATCTGATCCACTGGAGGGAAGGCGTACAGAAGCACGTATAGCCACTTGTGGGCCAGCGCGTCCACGCCTAGAGGAGCATTGTGATCTCTCATCGAAGAACAAGCGACAGTGCATGTTGTCCTGCAATGCGTAAAGATCGACGGCAGCCCTGCCGTAACGCCCCCATACCTCCTCGACGACAACGTGATGAATTCGCCCCTCCCCTGATGCGGGATCTCTCTCGCCAGAGAGTGAAGTTGATGGGAGCGCGTTCGTCCTTGGCAGTTGATATATGCCACTGTAGACGTATTGTCTGACCTGACCAGGACATGTTGGCCCTGTAGGAATGGATTTAAGTGCCTGAGGGCTAGTAATAGTGTAGAGCTCAAGAATGTTGATATGGGCTTTACTTATTGATTCTGACCATACGCTGTTCACTGTACGCCCATCGTGGACAGCCCCCCATCCCTGTAGTGATGCATTCGTTGTCACTACTTTGTGCATGAAGACTCTCCCAGCAGGGCAGCTTGTGTCAAGAGCGATGGGTCTCTCCATCATTAAAGTGCCGATAGACACTTTGCAGAGAGAAGCACACGCATGTGCCGGTGGAGAGACAGGTCCAAGCGGAGTGAGGTCACCCAACGCTGGAAGTCTCTCATGAGGAGGAGACTAAGCGGAACTACCACAATCATGGAGGCCACGAGCCCAAGAAGACTCGGACACATCCAGTACGTGACTGATGTTGTCGGGCAGAACACTCATAGGCAGTGATGAAAAGCCATCACTCTCTCCACAGTGAGGGCTGCTTGACAGGCTACAGAGTCCAGAGACAATCCCAAAAATATTTTCTAATGGGTTGGTAAAAGCAAGCTTTTGGCACGATTTATCCTGAAGCCTAGAGCGAGCAGGTGCGACAAAAGTTAGGCTGTGTGCTCAGCTGCCTGAGCCTGAGTGTCCGCGAAGATCAACCAGTCATCCATGTACGTCAGGACTCTTAAGCCTTTCTCCTGTAGGGAGGCTAGGGTGGCTTCGGCACACTTTGTGAATGTCCGTGGGGCAAGGAAACAGACCGAATGGTAAGGTGAGATATTCATAGGCTATGCCCTCAAAGGCGAACCTTAGATATCTCCTGTGTGCAGGATAAACTCAGATGTGGAAATAAGCATCCTTAACGTCTACTGTGGTGAACCACTCATTTGGCTGAGTCGAATCTAACAGCATGCCATGCGTTAGCATTCAAAATCTGTAGACTCTCAGATGCTTGCTGAGCTTCCTCCTTCTTCCCTCGGTACCATGCATATGGCTCCCTTGGCCAACAGAGGCTGTATCTCGTCTCTGAGGACTCTGACTGCTTCCCCCTGTGCAGTGTGCAGTGGACTGTTCCCATGAAACGCGGGGGGACCCCTGCAAATTGTAGTCTGTACATAAGACCCAAGGGGAGACTGGACACGTGCGCCACTGCTCTCTGTGAGGCGCAACGGAACCCACCTGTCCCCTGGGGGGGACGGGGAGCCCTGTGGCAGTAGTGGGGTGACTGCCACAGGGCTCCCCCATCCACCGCATGTGGGCAACCTGTCCCGTGGAAGGGACGGGGGGGGGCTGCCAGGCCTGGTGGCAGGACAAGGACACCCTCGAGGGGTTGATTGTTTTGCATGGGAACATTCTGAATCATCACCCTCGGCCCATGGGCCTGGATGTGAAGGGAACTCTTTATTTGAAAACTGAAGTTGGGGAACATTGGTGTTGACCCGCCCCAACGAGGGCTTATGTGTCTTGAGGTGTAAACGAGCTTGTGTGACCTGACGCAAGACTCCTGAGGAGTCTCTGGTCATTTTCCTCGAGCCCCCGCCTTGCGCTAGGTGTGCCGCTTCTTCCCCTTCCCTCTGGATGGAGCCGAGGGAGTCTCTGCCGCTCGTTGCTTGGAGTGACGCCTGTGTCCTGAGGCAACGCGTTGCTGGTGAGCGGACTGTCTGTCGCTGGGTGGGAGTTGCCGGAGAAGGCTGCTGAGGCTTCTTATGGATCCTCCCGTACTGGGAGGGAGGCCTCATGGTGACAACCTGGGAGAATGTGGGTTTGTTTCCATGGTAACAGGGAGCCCAGCGCCTCAATCTCCTTTTTCTTAGACTCAAACCTGGCCTGTATCTCCGATATGGCTGGTCCAAACAGTCTGGTGGGATTGATCTGTCCATTCAGGATCTTTCCCTTCTCCCTCTCAGACAGCCTTGCATTGTTCAGCTAGAGGGCTCTCTGGCCAACGGTCGCATGCACCATGACCCTCCCAGCCATGACTTGAGGGTCCGGGTGGTATGGTCGGCAAGGTGACTTAGCTCCATTAGCTTCTCCCGGTCGACGGTGCCACCATTCGCCAGGGAGTCGCACAGCTCCTTAGCCTGCACCGCCATGTAGACGGAGAGGAAGGCAGCAGGGCTGCAGATCGGTAGATCCTCTCATACATAGACATGGTGAAGCGGTCATTGGGGATGAGCGAGCTTGGGGGCAGAGGAAGAGGAGCTAAAAGCCTTCGGGTCAACTTGCTCAGCCAGGGAAGGCTCCACGGGAGGCGGGAAGGCTCCACGGGAGGCGGGCTGAGCCATCCCAACAACTCCATGCCGTGCATATCCAAGTGGGGGTAGTCAGTCACAGGAGAAGGTGACTTGAGTGGCTCTGCCCAGGAAGACTCCAACAAAGCCAGACAGTCTGGGAAGGCTGGTACACGCTGTCGGATAGATGTAGAATTACTCTGAGAGGAGATTCCATCCATCCTAGACTTCTTGGAAGGTGGGGGAGGCGTGGGATACTCAACATCAAGTTTGGTGGTGCCTCGAAGAAAGTGAGTTCAGTTATTGACTCCTGCCCTACCTCTTCAGTCAGTCTGGCTAGGTAGCACAAACTGAGCAGAGTGGAGAAATTATGCAGGGGCGTAATCCATCTCCTAGTCAGAGAGGGCGCTGCCTGATGCAGCAAGAGACATGCCGTCGTCCTCACTTCTGTATTTCGTCGGAATTCAGGTCCATCCCCTGGGAAAGGTGGGGGTTCTCTGAATCAGCCTGAAGCAGGGGATGCCGGAGTAGCTTCTCCTTCCTCTGGGACTTCGTTGTCAACAGAGTCGTCCTCGAGCAAGGACGAGGCCTGGGAAATACTTTCCATGTACTTCGCTCTATGTCTAAGGACACCGGAGCCCAGCTGAGCACATTGCACACAACTAGCGGGGTCGTCGAGAGCCTCCACAGCATGTTCAACGCCAAGGCAAGTAGTACAGAGTGGATGGGAATCCGTCCTGGACATGTAATGCCCGCAATTGCCAGGGCAAGCTTTGATAGGCTTGCGCTGCTTTTTCTACCCCTTCCCTGACGACTTGGCCGGTAAGCCTGTCGACATCTCGTTTCGACCGGATGGGCGAAAACAAATGGAATTACTGGGGGGCTAGCTAGCAACTCCACGTGCTGCTACTACAATGTGAAGTCGGGAGAGACACGGGGTAACGTGAGCTTGAGCCAGGTAAGTAGAAACATAACGTTTTTTTTTACCAGGGTGGTGGGAAATAAATGGTGTCTTTATACTTTCGGTGTAGTGAAATAGTGATGATAGCCAGCTAGCCGAGCCGTCGTGTGAGATACCAAGTGCCGACTCGGTGTGTAAACCAAGTAACTTGAGGTAGAACAAACGGCTGGCTTCTCATTCACAGGGGAATGTAAAAGGGATGGCACTTCAATGGTGGGGTAACACACTGAAGAAACAGCACCGTGCATGCTAGCCAAACAACCCGAATGGGGGTTTAGCCCAGAGGTTGCTAGCTAAAACACCAGTGGTGCCGTTAGCCCACTAACTAGCCAAGACGTTCGAAAGTTCAGCTAGCTAACTCCGAACGGTGGGAACCGACAGAGAGCTAGAGACCCTGGGTAGAAGTAGCTCAAATGTGTGGGAACCTGCTATTAGCGGGACGCTAAAGCAGTGGAGCTAGCTAGCTAACAACGCCAATTGTGTGTAGGCCAGGCAACAGGTGTACTGTAGCTAGCCGACAACAAAAAGTGCTGCTAACAAGCTAGCTGAGGTAACCACTTGGTAAAGTGAAGCTGAAGTTAGCAGAATTCCTGAAAATAGAAATTAAGCCACTCAACGCTCCGTGGTGGGGTGGTAACCCACACCGAAAGGAACAGTTAAGTTGAGAACTAGTTTTCTGAAGAAAGCTGCTTAACGGGTTAGTAACCAGATAGTAACCAAATAGACTTGTGAAGAGGCGAAGAATGAGGAAACCAGAGCAGTGCAGGGTGTTATATGGACGCGGGGCGTACACCCACAAAGCTCTGATTTGGCCTGTTAGGTGTGATTTAAGGCTTCAACCAATGACCCATAAAAGACGGCGTGTCCCATAGTGAGATGTCGAACCGAGTTGATTGAAATATAACCTCTATTAGCAGATATAGTTATGAGCCAATACAGGTACTCACTTAAAAGATGTGTCTTGAAAGAAGTAGATATGATCATGGTGCTTCTCAGTAGTAGTTCTTGTTATTCTGAACTGGGGGAGATTTGGGCAGTGTCTCTCAACAACCACAATGGGGCAGTCTTCCCCATGTCTTCTCTCAGAAGAAGGGTCACAGAAGTTTTGGAGCTCAAATCAACTGCTGTGGTTAGTAATGGCCCTGATTTAGATGTAATCAACAACATGGACATGTGACAGAGCTATGACCACATTTTTCCTCTTCTACCGGGACTAGAATTTATCACTATTTCTGTCACTGCTGTGACCAATACTCCTGCTACTTATATACATTATATTAGCGACATACTGTACGTTTGTTTAAATATCTGCTAATGTCATACTAGAAATATCACTATTGCTCATTGTCTCTGAAGAACAAGACAATGGCTTAGTTTGTCACGATGCTGCAGTGCCAGGGCCTCTAATCTGTGTGTGTGCGTGCAGCCATTAATGGGATCAAAGGTCAGCGAGGGAGATGCTGCTGACATATAAATCAGACACACACACACACATAAGCTGTACACACACTGGTACACCCTGTAGTGAGGCGTGGCTCGGATGTCAGTGTGTAGGAACATGCTGAACCATTGAGTTGTGGGGTGGTGAGTTTAACTCATTGCTCTATTGCTTTTCTAATAATATTATGACTGTGTGTGAAATAATTTAGATTAAATAATTGCGACCTAGTGAAAGTTGCCACTATGTATTACTGATGTACTGTAGATACTAGCTAAAGATTATGCTAATTGATCATTTGTGTTATTATGTCACACCTTCCAGTTTGTATCCATGTAGTTTACACTGTCTGTATTGAGGATTAAGGTTAGTCATTATTTACTGTCTGGCAGGAATTAATGACACTACTGAGCCCCAGACAGACAAAGCATCAACTCAGCATGGCTTAATTTCTGCTTGACTGCGTCCTTTAGGTTTCACATGAAATGACAGCACAACTACTGTATGTAGCTAAGTTTGTTTTCACACATCATATTTAGGTTTGGGATGTCTTCTCTTGAGTCTTGAGAATGCCTTGGTTCATATTAAGCAGATAAGCAAGGCACACACTGCTAGCATTAATAATCAGAAGGAGTATGATCATGCCCCTGGATGACAGGGTAGGAAGCCCTTCTTTGCCCAGATGCCAATATTTTGTCCCCAACATGTGGTGTCTGGTATTGGCTGGCTGTCCCTTCCTGCGTGGATCAATAGGTCAACAGTGTGACACATGCCTCTGATTTGAATTTTGCAATATCAGGAATGTTCTGTTCTTCTGCAACTGGAAAACAAGACTTTTAATCATAACGGATCACTTTGTCTACAGGGAATGTAGCTAGTATTATGAAGCCATTAGTCAATTGTATGTTACGGACTTCACAATATCTTTGTGTGAGCATAGGGGCAAGTCCAGATTTACGGTACAATCTCCCACAGTTACTTCTATGACCACATTTTCCCAAAACTGTTAAATATCTGCTCCACATTAAGATTCAAAGATGTCTGCAGAAAGAATGGGGTGTCAGCTATGACATGACATCTTGAGTTTAAAACAAATGTTTTGGTTATTGAACTACAGTAGGGGAAATGGATTTACATCCGGTAACAGAATTAGGTTAACGGAATTACATCATGAGTCCCTGATCTGTACTATACAGAAATGCATAATTATGGATATGAATATCATTCTCTTCATGGTGATGTATCCTGAATAGGTACTCAAAGGTAGAAATATGCAATATCCTTCTTTTGTATATTTGGGTATTATTCTACACACTGGCTATTATTGTAATAAGCTCCGCCCCCAAACAAATCCTAATTTGGTTGGTCTGGACCAGACCAAATCTGAAACAATCGTAGACGTCTATGTTTCACAAATTTGGACATTACCGTAACGTTCGGTATAGTAGAGTACTGGAAAGTAGATATGTACAGTACAATACTGTACACTGTATTCTACTCTAGTGTGCTCTACTGTACTTTACTGTGCTGTCCAAACTTGTGAAACATAGACGTCTATGATTGGTTCAGATTTGTGAGGCGCATGCACGTACCAAAAGGACGCATAGGTTGTGAGTAGCTCCGTTCTGTGGTTATATGTAGAAACCAGACAAAGTTTTTAAATTAGGCTTCTAATGGGGCCTCCCGAGTGGCGCAGCGGTCTAAGGCACTGCATCGCAGTACTGAGGCATCACTACAGCCTCAGGTTCGATCCCAGGCTGTGTCACAGCCGGCCGCGATCGGGAGTCCCATGAATCGGTGCACAATTGGCCCAGCGTCCTCCGGGTTAGGGGAGGGATTGGCCGGCCGGGATTTCCTTATCCCATCGCGCTCTAGCGACTCCTTGTGGCAGGCCAGGCGCCTGCAAGCTGACTTCGGTCGCCAGCTGGACACATTGGTGCGGCTGGTTTCCGGGTTAAGCTAGCAGTGTGTCAAGAAGCAGTGCGGCTTGGCAGGGTCGTATTTCGGAGGACGCAGGGCTCTCGACCTTCGCCTCTCCCGAGTCCGTAGGGGAGTTGCAGCGATGAGACAAGACTAACTACTAATTGGATACCATGAAATTGGGGAGAAAAAAGGGGTAAAAAAATTAATAAATCAATATATCCCCAAGCATCTGGGAGAGAGTGAGCGGTCAGTTGAGTACAACACCGAACCAATCAGTTGGTAAAGCAGTTGGTAGGCCTCCTGTAGCTCAGTTGGTAGAGCATGGCGCTTGCAACGCCAGGGTTGTGGGTTCGATTCCCACGGGGGGCCAGTATGAAAAATGTATGCACTCACTAACTGTAAGTCGCTCTGGATAAAAGCGTCTGCTAAATGACTAAAATGTAAATGTAAAGCGACGCAGCGACACGAATCCCAACAAGCCATGGCTTCCCCCAGAGGAAAAGACGAGTTACTTGGAGACGCAAACGAGAGTAATGAACAGCTAAAGGATATCCAGGAAAACATAGCTAAATTGCTCTC